TTACGTCAGCCAGCTCAGGCAGGGCCGTTGACACATAGCAGGGGGCCAGGTATATTATCAACAGGCCCACTTGCACCCCTTGCCCCCACTTCACGAGGAGGGACTCTGCACCGTCTATCTGAGGTACAGTGGCCTCCCTTGGGCATAGGTTCTCCCTTATAATGACCGCTACCCCCCCGCCCCTACCCCGGGTCCTTGGTTGGTGAAATGCTTGGAAACCTGGCAGGCATAGGTCAACAAGGGGAACACCCCCCTCTATGCCCAACCAGGTCTCGGTGATACCTGCCAGGTCCGCTCCCCCCTCATAAATAAGTTCTTGAATGAGGGGGGCCTTATTCACCACGGACCTGGCATTGCACAGCATCAGCCGGTGATCCGATATACACAAATACACACACACACACAAAAGTAAGCAAAAAGTTTAAACTTATTGGTGTGTTAAGAAGGGTTATGCCCAAAAAGCAGATAAACAGGCGTCACACCAAGTGTTTTATTGCAAGAGAGAGTTTGGGATACATAGATCTGAATGGTAGAACCTGCAATGGCATACCTTAAGCATTTATTTAATTTGTAGGGATTTGCAAGATTTGTAATTTCATTCCACAGACATAAACACCACCGGTTGTTATGATGAATACTTAGATTTCCTATCATAAACGTTAATTTAGGGATGGTGATTTGTAAAAAAGCAAACACTGATTGCAGTAGCGCAAATTTTTGATTCTGAAGAACTGCATCAGGACCTGTGAGCTTTGATGGGAGTGTCCATAGAAATAATAACTTATTAAATAAATTGTTCACAGTTTCCTTGTGGTAAAGGAACAAAGCTAATTTACATTATGCCTATCCTTCTCCAGAAACATCACTTCTTGATTATCTATGGTGACCCTAGATGACTTGCTGCAGGCTGAATTGCTAATTTTAAATTGATTTTTATTTGTTTATTTATTTTCTATAAGCTTTTGTTTCTAATTGCCTTTTTCATTGCTTTTCCAGGTAAAGGGGATGTTTTTGGGGACATCTTCTGGAAAGAGACCACTCTGGCTCATGCATGTGCCAACGTGCGGGCCCTAACATATTGCGATTTGCACATTATCAAACGGGAAGCTTTGCTGAAAGTTCTGGATTTTTATACAGCTTTTGCAAACTCTTTCTCAAGGAACCTCACTCTAACCTGCAATCTGAGGAAACGGGTAAGATCTCTTTAATCAGATTTTACATGGAAGGTTGTTTGTACAGTAATGATCTAATTGTTGAGACTGAACCAGAGAAAAATTAATGATAAAGAGGTAGTGAGACTATGCAGGAGAAAGAAGGGCCTGATTTAGATCTGTGGTCTAAAGGTCAGAAGGTTCCCATTCTTCATGAAGGAATATGAAATGTTGAAGTAGCATCTGTGAGAGATTGCTTCAGGTCCTTTATTAGTTACTAGGAGACTGAGTAGGTAGAAAAGCCTATGATTATAACTGGACGAATTATGGTATTACTAGAAAATTTCTGGGTAAGTAAATGCAAGAATGGAGTAAGCAGAAGATTCTGGAATCTTTTGGAGTGAGTGGTCTATAAGAATATAATAACACAAGAAGGAAAGAGAGAAAATGTAGGAAATCTGGAGAAAGAAGGTACAGGGAGAACATCAGGTTGGAGTTAAAATGTTGCCTCATTTGATTCCCCTTCTCCTCTTCCTCTTCCTCCTCTTCTTTTCATGCATACTTATTCAGTGTATGTTCCTAAAACTCTTCCCAGTTCCCTGAATTAATGTAACATATTTTTAATCAAATGTGACTGCAAACTAAATCAAACTGATTGTTTTGGCTTGACTTCTGTTTTTTTTTTTTTAATTGTACAGTTAGTTCACTCAAAGATTAAACTAAAGAACTCAGGTGTTACTGGTATAAGCACTTAAAGTCGTACTCTTAGATATGACAAAAATAACAAAATAGCAACCGCAAAAAAATATCTTCATACTTTATAATCAAACAACATATCTCCCTATCAGTTGGAATAGTATTATATCCATCAGTTATCTATTAAAATATTTGTTTAGGGTTTCTTTGGAAGATGTCATAGCTTTATGTCACTGAAAAAAGATGTTCTCTTTTTTATGTTGGTGTTTCAAAAACAAAGTAATAATTGCCATATAAAAATTGTCTGCATGAGCAATTCTCATAAGTCTGATGAACAGATTTAAGCATTAACTCCAACAGTTTACTGCTAGAATTGATTGATTGATTGTTTTTCTACAGCCCTATTTTATCATGGGATTAGATATTTGTAGGCACAAAAGATCTCCACTTATGATAATTTGTAACCAAATCCATATAGTAAAGCATACAGTATGTGGATTTTGAATTGGTGGAATACTCAGGAGACCATTTCTATTTCAGTATATGGAACACTACCAGCAATAGGAAGATGTTCAATAGCATGCATGTATCATCCATAATTCCAGATGCAGCTTAAAACTGAAATATGATGCTAGCAATGGATTTTTCACTATATAAATCTATGAATTGTAAATTCATCCAGTTTGGTAGAACACAAATTGTTCTGAAACTTGGGTTTGTTCCCGGGCCATATGTTCTGCAAGTTCTGATTAACAATAGAAACTCCAGAGAGTATAGCTTTCATTTTCAGTTTTTATTTGGTAGATATCCAAAACTTTGTATTTAAGGAAAAAGATCAAAAACATTACATTTTGTAAAGAAAAATTCAAGTTTCAGATTCCAAAGCTGTGAATGGATTTGATAATGAAGACGGACTGAATAGAACTTTTCGTCAGCCACTATTTTAATTTCTCATCAACATTTAAAATATTATTCACTGTTTCTGTTGATTTCCCCAAATTTGCTAAAAAGAACTTCTCTGGACTTTGAAAAATATGGCCTGTTCCTTTCAAACAATACACCTTACATTGATTTGAAACTGAGAGGATGAGTTGAATGCCTCCAGTTCATTGTAGATCTATATTTTGGGACAAATTGTATAGTCAGAACTGAGAATAGTAGTAGACTAATCAAACATTCCTGTCATTTTTTAGTTCTGAGCACAATTTGTATTTTGGTTTTCTACTTTCTTCCAATTTTAAAGATCCTGAATATATTTTTAAAATGTTTTATTCTGGACTTCAACTGGTCCAGAATGCGGCCGCGCGGGCGGTGTTGGGAGGGACTCGTCGCTCC